AACAAAAATTTCACGTTTTTATTATTTCTCGTACGCAAAAACGCGACTGATTACTGAGTATAGGCTTGCCCGTGTACATGAATGTATGTTGATGAAACATGTTCTTCCCGAGGTTTTTTACCGAATACTTTACGTGGTGTCTGCAGAAGAAAATATGGTCAATACGTATAGAACATACTGCGATTCGAGTGTTCGGTAGTAAGTCGGCCGTACGACGTCGTTGGCGACCGAACGTTTGTTCTTGTCGGGCCCCCAACGTGTGGGTGCTGTTCGATAAAAAATGAGCTAACGTTGGTACCGATTTGTGGGGTTTAGACGTTTTAAAAACCGCTACTAGCAACACTGTTATAATGCATCGACCGCCACCGCCGTCGGTTATTTGACGAACGAGCCCGCTGAGAAGAACGTGTTTGTGTGGACCTGAATTTTCGAAATCTTTATCCGTACGCAAGCCGTTCACGGTCAACGATCGTCCGTGTTTCGCCAGTATCTAACGGCCGCGTGCTAATGCAACGTTTTACATGTTTGCTCGGAAAAAGGGCCGAGCCCGTCGACGTCCGAAGAGTGAAACGAATTGAAGGAGGCGGTGCACGGGAGGGAGACGCGTTCGTTGAACGGAACCGCTCGGCGGAGTAGAAACGCTCCGCGACGCGGTATTTATACGACGCGTGAGAAAAAAACACAAGAGTAAACACACACCGATATCCGCTGCCGCCTCGTAAGTGTGCCGCCGTCCCATGCCGGTAATCCGTTACCGGATCGGCCGAAGCCGTCGATTTCGTTTCCGCAACAGCCGGGCAACATACATACTCGTTTGTGTACGTGTAAAAAAGATAATGATATAAATATCCGTATGTACGACCTGGCTCGGAGATTATACGACGATGGCGTTACGCTTGATCCGGAGCGATGGTTGCGGACGGGATCACGACACTGTCTTGCGTGTGCGTGCGTGCGCTGGTCGACGATTGTGAGGAAGTAGTTCCAAAACTGGACGACGCGGTCGTTGAACGAGTAAGTATCAAACACGATAATAAATACGCGACGGTTCGCACTGCGTAGAAACGGCGGGCGGAACACGTTGGCGCGTAAACGAGTGGGGTTTTCGGCACAGGCGGCCGTGACTCGAATCTCGGGCAGAAGGACGTGCGTGGACCAGTCGGTGAACACAAGAGTTCAGATGCACGGAACTAAAAAAAAAACGTAAAAAGTCAATTGACGGCGGTGGCACAACGGTTCGCGAAAAAAGCAATACGGCTTGAGACGACTACTCGCTAAGACGGCTGGTCAACGACAAAAAAACATGGAGACGCGTGCCGGTTCGCCGGAAGGGAGGGGGAACAAAGGTCGACTTAGCTGCGCGTCGACGGTGCTCTTCCAGGATGGCAACCGTTGCGACACGAGACGTGACGGTCGTATCGCGCGAAATCCGAATTATCGGATTTGATGTCCAACAACATCTATTGCGCCGATATAAAAAGCTTATAATTTATAGGTGTATGTAAATCTATTGCGCTGATCGATATTCGAGTCAATACATTTTGCGACTACCTCATTGATACATATATTGATGAAAATGCAACTTATCCCTCATATTTTTTGCCATCATGTAGGTAACATATTAGTCAAAACAACAAAGTCTTTGAGGCATTTCACTCAGCGTTTGGGAAATATTTTTGTTTTTTATGAAGTTTTAAAAATAATGTAACGCAACAATCATAATAAGTACCTATTCTCTTAGTTATCACAAATAGACCAAACTCTAAATTGATGACAAAATAATAAATATTAAAATAGACATAACTAATTTTAATATTAGACTTAAAAACTTTTCAAAATTTGTAGGAATAGTGTAAATACCAAATATGTAAAATGATAAGTTTGATTTTAATTTTAATTTTTGTTTTCAGCCATTGTGATTTTTACTTGTACTGTATAGTTGTTATACCGGCACAATAGATGTATACTAAACAGGTAATATCCTAAATGCGGCGCAATTGACGAATACCGATTAGAACAATTCCCGTCGACCGTATTTTGTGGTATTTCACCAAATTGCAAGCTTACAGTATAATTTGAATAAACGTTGTATACAACTTGTAGATTTTACATATACTGTCTTAATATAATAATTTTAATTTCAATAATAATTTATATAAATACATGGTATTTATTAATGTAATACGAGGGGGGTGGCAAAGCCCCCCACTTACTATTAAATTTTAAAGCACCCCCGTTAAATGAATCCTGGATACGCCACTGGTTGACGGGACGAACGCGCGTTATTGTTCGACGATGACGATATCGTAGCGTTTCGCGAAAATGATTCAAAACATTTAACCGTAGGCGTGCGCAGACCTGTATTTTAGGGGGTTCTTACAACACTTTTGGGCCCTATCTTAACGAAACGTCCAAGTATATTTAATTGATTGTGACGTAGAAATAATCGAATAAACATAATTTTAAATTTTTTTATATAATATCGCGGTATATTGAATATATAATGAATATATAATATATGTTTTCCTCGTAATCTCATCCATTCTTCTCAAATAGCTTCAATTGTTTATGATTTTTACTTTTGTAGACAATGTTATATTATCATAATTAGTGTTTGTTTTATTTTTTTCATTACAAAACGTCATTTATTTTTTATCAAATATTTTACAATAAATTAGATTTAATTTGAGCAATGTTGGTTAAAATAGGGACCCTTACTGCTGGACTTGAATTGTAGGGCCCCGCTTACAACATTTCGGGCGGTGGCCGGCACAACCGGCATCCCCTCTCCGTACGTACGCTTATGATTACTACCGAAAACCGATTTATTTCCTGTGATGTACATGCAAAACGCTGTTTACTTGTTTGTACGTAATATTATTTATATATTGTTATTTTACAGGTAACGTAACAACTGCAATGCGCAGTGCAATCGGACATCGTTATCGATTTACCATTGCGTTCCGATCAGTAATTTTTTTCATTGTTTTTTATTTCGTCCAGGTGCCAAATTGACGATGTCATCAACTTATAAGTTTCTTCGTCGTTACCGTGCATTATAAATTCTATGTTATTTTTTCACGGCAACGTGCCGTTAGTGTAATTCGCAGACACTTATGTACCTGTGTTCCGGAGAAATTCGAACTGATAATTTTCATCTATAATATACTCAACCGTTACATGCAACCCAGTCATGAATATAACGTCCCCAAACCGCAAGCGTATCTTCAGTGGCGTAAGAAGACTCGTTAATGCCCCTGGAAAACTTAGAAAAAACTCTTTTTAACTAATTAAAATTTGATACTACGAATTTTTTTTTATGGATAATTTATATTTATAAGTTAATATACTGTGATAATTTTAAACTTTGAAAATTTGATTTTCTCGCTTTATGACCAGCAAATTCATCAATAATTTTTTCATATGAAATTTTTTATTTAAATGTCCTTCCACTATTTTCGTTATTTCATTATTAAATTCACATTTAGTATGTACAAATAGACAACATCTACGTATTTCAAAAAGTATAAGCTTCGATTTGATTGTAGGATAAAAATACGACTTTTGCACAATTTTTTGCTTCTTTGCAATTCGCGCCCCTGGCGTAGGCACAGTTCGCCATACCCTTGCTACGCCACTGCGTATCTCGTATTTGTTCGAGACGCACACGAGGACACACAAACACGTCAACCATCTACAACGAGACGTGTGAAATCCGTTGGAGCCGTATAGGTTGTTCGAACATGTTTTCACACGATCGGTAGTGCGCCGTGGTTGCGCAACTCCAAGGAAATATTTAAATATTTACGCACCATTGTAACGCGACGTGTACGCGCGCGTATTACACGTTCGGTATAAAGTTGTAATTCATAACTGTTTTCTTGTTTCGCAACGCATAGTTATGTCAAACGTTTCTCGAAACCGTTGCTTATCGTGTCCACTTATAGTGTCTTATATATGAGATATTCTCATCTCTCTCTCTCTCTTCCTCTACAGATTCTCGTCTTGTACAATTGTACATTATAGTCTTGTAGACAATTTCGGGAGAATCAGACTTTCCCTCGCAGGTCGATGAAAATCGATACATATTCTATTTCTGTAGGAATCAATTCCATATATATTTTATCTTTAACGAATTATTCCTTATATTCTTGGTTTCTTTATGTTATATATCTCCGAAAGGATCATTCAATCCTATATAATATTATTATAAAGCGGATTTTCGGTATATAAATTTTAACTTTTATAGTCCGCATAAAGTTTTCGCTCCCTTCATCACAACCGCCACCTATTCTCATCATCACTGTAATAGTATTAAAGTCAGGCTTTTTGAGCGTATTCCTTGAGATCTGTTTTCGCCGTCCGCCCATGTTCATCCGAATTTGTGTTTTACAACTATTTGGTCTCATTCCAATATTACTTTGTCTCTTATATCTTTTGTTTTCTACAATTATAATATTATTTTTTTTTTGTATTAATATAATTTATTTTACATTAAAAATTAAATAACAGGTTGGATATTCATTGAAGTTATGTGTGTGTGTGTGTGTAACAATAATTGTTGCACGTCGTAAAATAAATTGACATTATATACGATGTTGTACCTTAATGTATAATACATGTGGCTCGTCTTACAATATTATTTTGTTTTTTCGACAAAAATATTTGCCTCCTTTCTCTATTTGTTTACTAACTGACGCAATAAAACCATATTTTATCATTAACGTTTAAATGACACACAAGAATTTCATAGTTATTATGAAGTAATTAAGGAATGAACGGAAATTGTATCCTTCGTTGGATCTTCTTTATTTTTTTAGTGAAGTCGATTTCCTTTCATCACGTTTTTAGGAAGGCATTTTTATTTACCATTATTATTTTTTATAATTTTTTTTATTTTTCAAATTATAGATCTATGAATGGAAAAGTGATCTAAAAATAATTTGCTTATAATTTACTAACGTAGTGTATTAACAAAATGTCCTTTATTATGTTCATAGATTGGAATACATTTTATTATCGCAATATTTATTTGGCTTGTATCGTGGACCGCTGCCATCGACCTTGAACATAAAGATCTTAATACACCATATAAGTAAGTTACAATTTTTGCACAACTCAATAAAGAGTAAACTTATCATAAGTCAATACTGTATTTACAACATATATACGATATTATTTAAAAATACTGTATAAATGTGTAATTACTGAATAATATAATTAGGTGCACGAGACCGTATCAAATATAATTGAAATCGCTATAAATTATAATTTAATCAAATATATATATATATATTGAAGTTAAATATGTTTGATGAAAAATATAGTTGGTAAGGTACATTTAAAATTCTTACCATCACCAAATGACTAAAAATAGATATTAATTATGTTTTATTGTGAATGTTTAAATTCAATATAACAATAACATTTATTGTCAAATTCATTTATTTAATGATATTATTATTTTTGGTTTTCATCTGATATAGTTCAGTATTATTTTATTTTAACTTTCTTGTTCATTAGCTTAATAAATTCAATTCTGTTAGGAGTGAGGTACTTTTTATTTCACTTTTATATTAATGTATTTTTCTCGTATAAAACATTTTTAAACATTTAATTATAGTATTACTGTAGATAAATGTATATATTGGCAATTGTTAGTGACTACAGAATTTCGCTGAAATGTTAGTTTTTATAAATTGATTTTGTTGTTAAATAATAATTTAAAATAATTGATATTTTCATTAATAACACCTATACTTCGATGGTATTTATTTTATTCAACTGATATTGTCTTTTTATAAGTTAGAAGTTATGAAAAATAGTAGTTACACGAGATCTAAAACAATATATTCATATCGGTTTAATGTATAATTTTTTCTAAAAATCAATGCGTCATTTTGTGCATTCTGATACTTAGATCTGAGGTTTTTATAAAATTTGTTAATTTACTTTAGATCCAATATATTTTTAAAATATTTTACTTCAAAGTTTTAAAATAATGAGAAACGTTATTTTGTTATGCCATAGTAAGTATTAAAACTGAAAAATATTATTATGTTAGTATACTTTTTTACCTTTAACATGCATAAGGTTGTGTTTTGTGTATATAAATTACGTCAAGAAATAAAATAATAAATACTTATGAACAATGAACTACGTAGCAGATTTTCAATGTGGTTTTGAAGATGCGACTATTTCTAACGAACACTTAGGCCAATGTCTGCATTATATATAGTTTAGAAACGTCAACAATGACTCAGCTGTTAAACAGGTTAGCTACTTTAATTAAAAAAATTACAAAAAGGCTGAGAAAAGTGACATAACTAAATTATTTCTTAATTTGAACGGTTCAATAACTTACAAAGTTTAAAGAATTTAGTTTTCTTGATTTATGAAAAATATAATATTTTAGTTTTGTCACTTAATAATAAAAGTGAGTGAATAATATTTGTTTGATTTGTTTGAAACTAAATTTTAACTTTTTAATAGTAGTCTTATGATATGCTGGTCTTTTCTTTACGTTTCGTTATTTTTTGGCAAATTGTTTTGTTTGTATTACGCATAGATAGTGATCATTTAACCATGTGGTTCTCATTCATTATTATTCTATATGTTAATTTATCAAAACAGTACTAATAATTACGTCAAAATATACCATAAAGTAATACTCTTTTTTTAATTATTACAGAATATATGAAATATATTTTACTTTACATATTTTGAGATATAACTCAATAGAATTTACTTATCTGATATTCAATTATAGATGGTAATCTTAATTATTTAAAAAAAGTATTATAATATATCAATTTGAATGATAATTGTGTTATCATTTATGTTATTATAAATACAATTAACTTAATATTAAAATATTCTCAAATGAATTACTTGTATAATCACTTCTATGCCCAAATAAGTTATAGCACGTCTACAATTAATGCGCTTTTGGTACTAATTTTGGCTGAAAATTAGCTGTATAATAATTGTATTAAACAACTAATTCTTCCAGTTTGATATTGATTTGCTAAACATTTTTGTACTGCTATATTTAATGTTTTTGCGGATGTTTTAGAGCATAAGTTCTTAAAATATTCGTTGCGATATACACTTATGCAAATCTCAGTGTATAAGGGAGGTGTTTGATTTTTTTTTGAAACGTGTACATATAGTGGCGTATTTTCAAATTTTTTGTAGGGGACTAAAATTTTTCTAAAAAATAAGTGATTTTATAATATTTTAAAAATTCATGTAAGATATGAATTAATAATTATATTATTCTATTATCATTATCATTATCAATACCAACGAAAAGTTATTTACAACCCCATGATATAAATGAATGTTTTATTTCTCTGTACCTTCGTAACAAATAATTTATAGCTTACTTCTTTTGTGGGAAGGTGGGGGAAGTCGAGACCCGGGAATCCCCGAAAACACGCCACTGCATATATACATGTATGGTGGTGGATTTAGGGATTGCTAGGGGCAGAAGTACCCACCGTTGCGCGTATTGAACTTTTTCGTAGTATTATAAATTACTTAGATATCAGATATCACCATGTCTAGTGTAAGAACGAATTAACAAAACAATTTTCTCTTAACACTTGCACACAACTGATTTTCCCGAACATTTAAGCCCCAAACGATGGGTTCGTTTTCATCCCAAAGTCGTGCATCAAAGATCGCTGTTGGCGAATTAGCGTATAATAAACTATATGTAGTCGTATTTTTACTTTTTAATATGTATATATGTGTCAGTGCCGCACGTTCTTAAAATTGACAATTTATTTATATATAATGCATTGTTATATATAATACTTTATATTGTATAATAAGTAGTTTTATAAATTTTATTCGTGTATACACTGTATTACGAAATATGTAATATTTGTTTTCCGTTAGTAAAATTAGGTCCTTCTAGGCTATTATGAAATAATTCCGACTGCTGACTGGTGTTTTCGTTGAGGGGTGAGACGCCCCCTCAAGACCTCCCTTCGGGACGGCCCTGATTACATTCGTACGCGAATTCGTTCATGGTTCGGCACAAAGTGTCGAACACAACCGAATACCGTTCGAACTCAACGAGGAGCGTTTTCTTCGGTCGTGCCGCCCATTCGCTCGCGTTCGACAAACCGTTTGCACTACCTGCATTCGGTACGATTCGCTCGCGTCCGAACTACAATGTAAACGCACCTTTGGGATTGTCGAACGGTACGCAACGACGGGGACACGCGTGATCCGTGTCGGCAGAAAAACGAACGCAGAGGCGAACAAATGGTTTTTTTTTTTTTTTTTCAAGTGGATCGCGCGCTCTAAGCTGCGCCCAAACGTTATTGTCGTCTCGGAGACGTAACGGTTCGACCGCGTTCCGGTGCACTTGTACGCGGGCCCACGCGGCCAGAACGTCGCGATTTTAATTGTTCGCTCCGCGTGCGCGTGACAGACGTGTAGCAACGGCCGCGCGCACAGGTGGTGGTGTTGCGCGTAGGTCACGTACACGTTACGTAGGGCACGTCGCATAAAGCCGCGCGTACACACGTGCGAGCCGAAACTACCGCGAACCGTTCGCTCCGATCCATCGAGAGTCGGTTTTTTTGACCAACCCCCCGCGAACCCGGTACGTAATGGGTTCGCGAGCGGATCTCAAGTTTATACGTGGCATTAACGAACACAACACGGAGGAACCCTTCACGAGCGGTTCGCGGTAGGTTCGGCTCGCACATGTATTCGCGCGGCTATTATGCGCGGTACGATTTCGACCGGCTTACACGCAACGACTTCTTGCACGTTTTGCTGGACACGTAAAATGAACAATAGTAATTAAACAAATAGTCGATTAACTATTAAGTGTCTACACGTTCCAACTTTTACTCAGTTTTCCATCCCAGTTTCACCGTATTTCTGTTCATTCTTCGGTAGTATTCAGTTATTTTAGTGATTTTTGACGACACGGAAGAAGCGCTATTGTGGTTTACCATAATGTTCCTAGTACGTGTGTAACATAATTTCCGTAGATCAGACATGTTCGCAAGAAAACAAAAAATACCACGCGAATCAAATTTTTTATTATTTATTAAATATTATAGGTTAATATACTATAATGTATTATAATTATTAAAAGAAAAAAAAATTAAGTTGTTCAAACTATTAAAGTCTATTAAATAAAAATTTAAAGTCTATTATTATTATTATTTAAGTCCATTAACTTCGCGTGAAACGAATCCGCGCCCATAAGGCGTACGATTTACTTGTGTACACGCTTCGTTTTGCTTGATACGATTAGTCGTGTTAACTTCTCAGTCGTAAACTCACGGTATTAATAAAAACAGTCTATTTAAATGAATAGTTAAAACGCGTTTATTATCACAAACAACTAAAATACAAATTAAAAGTCACACTGGCTGTCCGTACGTACACCTTACACACTGTACAGGTTGCCGAACAATGCCTCTACTCAACCAGTTCGCCCAGCACCTTACCCGGATGGGACGACCACCGCACTAGCTGGTGGAGAGTTAACAGTCGTGTTCGATAAAACGTACAATAAGTCGTTGGCGTGTAAACCGGCCTTAACAGATCCATCGAAATTCGGATCGGCCACGCGATCACCTATCGTCGACGACCCGCGTGCGCGGATCGTGTGGAGGCTAATCGCAAATGGGCCGTTCGTGAACCGCACCAGGTTAGGTTATTCGGGCGAGATGACCTGAGATGACACACTGCTCTCCCGTCTGTTGCGCGTCCATTAACGATTACCGTACGGTACAACAAAGCGCGCGGTGCACGATAAGTACCGTACGTGCCGTGTAACGGTCGCACGCGTCCAACGTGATCGGTGTTGTAACGAACAAGTAAACGATAAAGTGTTCGTGATGTTGCTTGGAATGGAAAAATACCGTTTGTGCTTGACGATGTTGTGATTGACGAGTTGTTATTGCGCTTGTCTCGAGCGAACGGTTCGATTAGAACCGATACGATCACGGTGAAACTTGTGCGCGCAGAATCAACTTGCACCGTACGCGGATTCTTGAGGTTTAGTGGTGAAACAACAATAACATTCGTGATCGCGGTTGCTTCCATACCGAATCACAAGTAATCCGTTCGATTCTAAACAGGCACCATGTTTCGAGTTTTATACGCTTGTAATACTTTAAACAATTTTGATTTCCTTGTCAAACAATGCGTCCTAAAATATGCGGTTAATCAATTAAAATCATAAATATATTTATAATTTATACCATAGCATAATTTTACTCTTGTCCCTTGCGGACTTAAACTATCTAATGAATACCGATTAATCATGTATCGCGGCAACCGTCGAGAGACCGCTCTTGTACAAGACCATGTGCTTGAATGAAAACGCGTTTCCTTGTTTTAAATCATCTGTAGGACTACGTTTGGGCATCGAACAAAGTGCAAACGACTTGATTTAATATTTTCTTGCGACTGCGTGGTGGTTGCCTGTATCGGATTAAATCTGTGATACTATTTACGTGTTCGTCGTTCGTTCTACGGGAACAAGTAAATGAATGACATAATGAAGTAATTTATTGCTAGAAAATAGAAACAAATACAATTTATAATAAATAATTTGAATTAATAGCATTTTCATACACTGAGCTAATACCTCTTGTCGTAGGTTATGATTAATTATCAGTATTAACAATTTTTATGATAAAATAAAATAATAATAATAATAATAATTACAAAATCAAAATATAAAAATTGACAATTCATCCAATCCAATGGCAATCTGATTGATTTTAATTCGTTCGTTTCGTGTGTAAATTTTGGAGTAAATACGGTTTTTATTGTTTCTCGCGGAACAAGTTTCACCGGTGCGAACGGGCTCGGGACGTGGGTCTGTGGGTCTGTGGGACGACGTTCACTGTGTCGACCAAAGTAGATAATTGTTATTCTTGTTTCGCAGGATATGCGGCGGTTTGGTGTTCAGTTGCCCGACAACGGACGACAACAAGGATGTTGTCGGGAAGAGTTCGAGCAGGAAATGCCAGTGCGACGAGGCGTGCGACGAGTATGGCGATTGTTGCACCAACTCTCCGTACTTCTACAAGAATACGACGCACCGGAACGAGAAACGGTTCGAGTGCGTGCGCGTGGACGGCAGCCTCGAGGACGGCGTCTACGTGGTTAACAAGTGCCCGGCCGAGTGGACGGACCGACGAGTGCGGGACGCGTGCGAGGCGCCTGCTGACTACCGAGACGGCATGCTCAACAACCCGGTGACCAGCCGGGCGACGGGACACGGTTACCGGAACCGATTCTGCGCGCTTTGCAACGGAGACGCGGTCGACCCGGTGCTATGGGACACGCGGCTGGTTTGCGAGAACCTATTGAACGTGTCGGAAGGCGCCGAGCAGTCGGTGGTGGACACGTTGCGGTACGATGGCGCTCGGTGGACGGTCACGTACCTGGGCCAGGTGTACCGCTGTGAGCAGACGGTGGTACCGCCCGCAGGGCT